GGATGCTGTTGACGAGTGATTGGGGGTGCTTAAATCTTTCCCACTATCCACGCTCAAACCCTTTCAGACTATTCCATCTTTCGTCTGAGGAATCGTTACGAGAGTGGTCGAGGGATTTGTACAGCGGCTAAACGAGCTTACGAATCGAATGAATTGATGGGTAGTTCGAATTTATCTGTGAAACGCTGGGATTATCTGGAATTGAGGATTGATGGGCAGTTCGAATTAAAGTCCAACAATTTTCCATCAACCCAACTTTCCATGGCATTTCGCATTACAAAATTATCCACCCTTCTATCCTCTGCCTCTATTTTCACCAAAGGTACTACTGAAAATTTCGTTCTTATGTTCACAACAGGACCCACGTCGAAAGTCGAGCTCACCACCAATTCCCAACGGACCAAACCAGTCTCAACGGTAAGAATTTTGAATTAAGTCCACTAAGCTATTTTCGTGCTCGTAAACTATCTGTGGAAATGCCGCATAGATGTGTTGCTGTTACCAAGTGAAACGGGAGAAGCCTATGAAGTTCTTTCTAGGCGTAAATGTCAAAACTTTTTACTTATGCTGTCATGTTTCATCACCTTTGAGTTTGATTTTACATATTCATGTATCAGCAACCTTATATTGTTGAACATCTATTCTTAGTTCGGTTCTGTATATGATTGGTTTATGTGAGTTTTAATTGATGTGATGGTGTATCTATTGAAGTATAATAGCTGTTAAATTTTAATTATGTGCCTTGGTTTGAGTTCTTTTATTTTGATTCCTATTCAGATTTACTGATTGACAGTAAATGTATGCTTTAAATTCAAGATTGAGCGGGATGATTCTAAGACAGAAGATCAAGAATTTTAGAAATGGCGCAATGGTGGTGACATGTTTCATGAGTTATCTTGCGTGGATCCCAACTGCTTTTGTAAAAATTGGTGCATTGGTTCATCCAAAATGTGTTGTTGCAGCAAATGCTTACACTGGATCAGGAACCATTGTTGGACCTGCCGTTACAGTTGGCCAATCAACAAGAATAGAGTAATTCATTTATACTTCTTTATTAATGTTAAACATTTTGGTTAATATTACATCTTATGTGTCATATATTGTTCTCCCATGTGCATACCTCCAATATTGCAAATGATGGACCTTGCATTATCTCGTCCTCGTAGGTTTTGGTTTTTTTGTTGATGAACAATGGCACATGGCGAAGAAGCCTCAAGTTAGTTATAGTGGACAGGTTTCCTGATCAATTATCATTTTAATTTTTTTAATAGAATTATTGAAAAGACAATAAAGAATCCCTCATACGGTACCCATTTGAGGTTGGTGGGGTTATGAGACAAAACATAGAGCTCTTGGGTCTGTTGGCACATATATCTAACAGGTTAGTCAGCTAATTAAGCACTGGTGTATCTTGGCATAAAGCTCGTAATTTGATTGAGGATCAAATGAGCTGCTTGTATTCCAACGAGGCTGTTGAATGATGTATCTTAGTACATTTAGTTCACTAGTGCCAGCGTAAGATATAGTTGTGTGTGGGAGAGGGTGGACACGAGTGAACTGGGTGCATTGTCGGTAACCCTTGCCAACAGCTCTATTTCACCAGTAGTTGGCACAAACCAGCTGCCAGGGACAATTGCTGGATTTACAGTTTGACTTTAGAATGTTCTGTTAGGTGATGGATGTTTCAATCTTCATATAGAGTGTTAAGTCTATCAACAGAATTAGACATTTGGCAAATTATTGATTGTGATTCTTTTGCCTTCTTAGTCAAGCATTATTATTCTTGGGTTATGTTGTTTTGATGATTCTTTTAAGGTTTATACTATTTTTCGAACCACTTATAGTAACTCTATGTGGTCCTCTCATTTCTTGGGGTTTCAGACGCTTTAAGAACCATAATGAATGAAGAGGGATGGATAGCAATCTACAAAGGTCTGGTGCCTGGTCTTTTTCTGGTTAGTCTTTTTTCTCTTATGCGTGTCTTGTCATTGTTTTTTTTTTCTATTTTATGAGCCCTTTATCTTCTACCCTTAAAAGGGATGCGGCTTGTTATGCCATTTATGTTCGTTGTGCTTTGACCTTTTTACTTATTCATTTCTTTATAATCCTGAGGATACCAATGTTAAGGAGGGAGGATAAAGTTTCACCATGAATTTTGGAATACAGTGGAACTTACTGATTTTGGTGCTATTCAGCAGGTTACACATGGTGCTATTCAGTTCACAGCATATGAGGAACTTCGCAAATTTGTTATCAATTATAGGACCGACGAAAGTGAAATAAATTCTAT